AAATGTCCCTGACTACAAGTCCCAAACTCAAGGTCAATGTCCACCAAACCCTTCCAGTATTTTCTGTTGTCATGGGAGTTCTGTGTGCCAAGTTTGGTTCAATTCCATCATTGGTGGAGTTCTTGCTATTTGATTGTAGGTGAACTATAAATCCCAGCAACGACAACTCCCAATTGTCAAGGTCTATTTCCCCCAAACTCCATCTGGGTTCATATTTGGAAATATGTAATATTTGTGTCAAGTTTGGTTGAGATCCATCATTGGTGGAGTTCAGAATGCTCTTTGATTGTAGGTGAACTATAAATCCCAGCAACTAAAACTCCCAAATGTCAAGGTCTATTTCCCCCAAACTCCATCTGGGTTCATATTTGGACATGTGTAATATTTGTGCCAAGTTTGGTTGAGATCCATCATTGGTGGAGTTCAGAATGCTCTTTGATTGTAGGTGAACTATAAATCCCAGCGACTACAACCCTAGGTAACAAAATCAATTTTATTTTAGTGATGGTCACTCCTTAGGTTAGTAAGTGTCTTGTGTCCAAATTTGGTGTCTATTCGTCCAGTGGTTTTTGAGTTAAACGAACATTACACTTTCATTGATATGGATGACTAGCCGTCCCCTGCCATGCGTTGCTGTGGCCCAGTCTGTGTATGCGCATCGTTTCTAGCGCCCAAGCAGTGATATTCAAGCAGGTCAAAGCACAGTCCAGAGTAAATTCTGTTTAATGGTGGAGTCCTTACTTTGAAAGTAGTTGTTCTGCTTGGAAAAACTAGAAAAACTTGAAAAACTTGAGCCAATTGTGCTGCACGATGTCCCTGCCGCCAAAACATTATATATATAACTAGCTGTGCCCTGCCACGCGTTGCTGTGGCCTATAGTAAAACTTATCAAAGTTGGGGTAGATATCTGGACTATTATGAAAGAGAGGTCCCTAACTATTCCTTCCCCCTTTTCCTCCCCCTTTCTCTCCTTTCTTCCTTCTCTACCTCTTTCCTTCTTTCACTACTTGGTTTCATCCTTCTCTCTTTCCTTCATTCCCTCCCCCTTTCTTCCTTTGCCTTTCTTCCCTCCCTGTTTGCTTCCTTCTTTCACTTTTTATTTCCTTTTATTTCACCACCATCATAACAATAACAATAATGCAATGCATTGCCTCTGGGACCTGACACCTCTCCCATTCCCCCTAAAAGGGTCTCATAAGAATAATAGCATCATAATAATAGAAATAACAACCTTTACCCGCCACGCGTTGCTGTGGCCAACCTTCCCTCTTTCTTCCTTCCTTCCTTCCTTCCTTCCTTCCTTCCTTCCTTCCTTCCTTCCTTCCTTCCATCTTTCCTTCTCCTCTTCTTTCTCTATCTCTTTCCTTCCTTCCCCCTTTTTCTTTCTCTTCTGCTGTCTCTCTTTTCTTTCCTTCCATCTTTCCTTTTCTTTCCTTTTCTTCTTCCTTCTTTCTCTAACTTTCCTTCCTTCCCCCTTTTTCTTTACCTCCCTTTCTCTTTCTTCCTTCTTTCCTTCCTTCCTCTTTCCTAGATTTTGACAGGGCGGGAAGGGGCGGGGTGGGGTTTGAGGTGGCGTGAAGTAAAAGGAGGTGGGGGAATGATGGAGCGTGGGGTTGCGTGTGTGTGTGCGGCGGCGGGGGAGTGGGGTTGCGTGTGTGTGTGCGGCGGCGGGGGGAGTGATGGAGCGTGGGGTTGTGTGTGTGTGTGTGGCGGCGGGGGGAGTGGGGGTTGCGTGTGTGTGTGCGGGGCGGGGGGAGTGATGGAGCGTGGGGGTGCGTGTGTGTGTGCGGGCGGGGGAGTGGGGTTGCTTGTGTGCGTGCGGCAGCGGGGGAAGTGATGGAGTGTGGGGTTGCGTGTGTGTGTGCGGCGGCGGGGGGAGTGGGGTTGCGTGTGTGTGTGCGGCGGCGGGGGAGTGATGGAGTGTGGGGTTGTGTGTGTGTGTGCGGCAGGGGTGTGTGTGTGTGCGGGAAGCGGCGCGGCGGGGCTTGGAGTGGGCATGGTTTCCGCAGAGGGAACGTTGGCCGGAAGGCCATGTGCTCGCGCGATGGAACTTGCGGCTGGGCACCAATGCGCATGCTCAGTTGTTTTGCCGTTTTGTGAGTGTGTTGTGTTGTTTTTTTATTTTGAGTAGATATGTTTGTACCTTGTGGGTTGTCTTATGGGCATGGGAATTTTGGTTAAGTGTTTTTGAGGTTTTTTTGAGTTTTGTTCTTTTGCCGTTTTGTGAGTGTGTTGTTGTGTTGTTTTTCATTTTGAGTAGATATGTTTGTACCTTGTGGGTTGTGTTATGGGCACGGGAATTTTGGTTAAGTTTCGTTGGGGGATTTTTGAGTTTTGTTGTTTTGCCGTTTTGTGAGTGTGTTGTTGTGTTGTTTTTCATTTTGAGTAGATATGTTTGTACCTTGTGGGTTGTGTTATGGGCATGGGAATTTTGGTTAAGTTTTGTTGGGGTGTTTTTGAGTTTTGTTTCTCCGTTGGATGCCCCTGACAAATTTATATATATAGATGTTTTGGCGGCAGGGACATCGTGCAGCACAATTGGCTCTAGTTTTCCCCATGTTTTGTGATAGAACGGATTGGATTATAACATTTACAACCCAGGAAGAAAAGTTGTGTTACTTATTGTAATGTTAATGGGGAACGTTGTTGGGGTTGTGACCTACAAAACTCCTTTGTGGTGGGAAGGTATTTGGCGACACAAGTAGAGCTTATCTAGCTCCTCCCTAGTGGAGCGACCAGTTTTCCATGAAGCAAAGTGGCTCAGGAAGTTCCTCATTGTGTACACAATGCAAGCGATGCATTCCTGCAATGGCTCAGCCACGCCACATAATGCGGGGTTGCACTATAATGCGCCCCGTAGTTTGCATTTCACTTCCGCAGCTCCCAAGACGGAGCGGACCGCTTCAGCTCCCAAGAATGTTTTAATGGTTATTATTGTTAAGCCATCAATAATAATAATAATAATAATAATAATAATAATAATAATAATTGCAGAGAAACAACTGGAAAAGCTGACACGATGTGAGGATTTAAAGATCAAACTGCAAAGACTCTGACACTGAAATACAACATCGCCTGAGCTCTGCAAGTGCAGTGTTCTTCCGAATGAAGCAGAGAGTGTTTGAGGACCGGGACATCCGTAGGGAGACCTAGGTGCTTGTTTATAAAGCCATTGTCCTACCAACCCTGCTATATGCCTGCGAGACGTGGACTGTCTATAGACGTCAACATTGACACTGAAATACAACGCTGCCTGAGCTCTGCAAGTGCAGCGTTCGTCCGAATGAAGCAGAGAGTGTTTGAGGATTGGTACATCCATAGGGAGACCAAGGTGCTTGTTTATAAAGCTATTGTTCTCCCAACCCTGCTATACGCCTGTGAGACGTGGACTGTCTATAGACATCAACATTGACACTGAAATACAACACCTCTGACCTCTGCGAGTGCAGCATTCGTCCGAATGAAGCAGAGAGTGTTTGAGGATTGGGACATCCATAGGGATACCAAGGTGCTTGTTTATAAAGCTATTGTCCTCCCAACACTGCTATACACCTGCAAGACATGGACTGTTTATAGACGTCAACATTGACACTGAAATACAACACCGCCTAAGCTCTGTAAGTGCAGCATTCAATCAAATGAAGCAGAGAGTATTTGAGGACTGGGACATCTGTAGGGATACCAAGGTGCTTGTTTATAAAGCCATTGTCCTCCCAACCCTGCTATACACCTGCGAGACATGGACTGTCTATAGACGTCAACATTGACATTGAAATACAACACCGCCTGAGCTCTGCAAGTGCAGCATTCGTCCGAATGAAGCAGAGAGTGTTTGAGGATTGGAACATCTGTAGGGATACCAAGGTGCTTGTTTATAAAGCCATTGTCCTCCCAACCCTGCTATATGCCTGCGAGATGTGGACTGTCTATAGATATCAACATTGATGCTGAAATACAATACCGCCTGAGCTCTGCAAGTGCAGCATTCGTCCGAATGAAGCAGAGAGTGTTTGAGGATTGGGACATCCGTAGGGAGACCAAGGTGCTTGCTTTTAAAGCTATTGTCCTCCCAACCCTGCTATACGCCTGCGAGACGTGGACTGTCTACAGACATCACATGCAACTCCTGGAACGATTCCATAAGTGTTGCCTCCGAAAAATCCTGCAAATATCCTGGGAAGACAGGCGGACAAATGTCAGCGTGTTGGAAGAAGAAGCAAAGACCACCAACACTGAAGCGATGTTCCTCCGTCATCAACTCCAATGGACTGGCTATGTTGTCCGGATGCCCGACCACCGTTTCCCAAAGCAGTTGTTCTGCTCCGAACTCAAGAACGGGAAACGGAATGTTGGTGGGCAGGAAAAGAGATTGAAAGATGGGTCACCCACACTTTTTCAATTAGATGGTGGAGTTATTGTGTCAGCTCAGGTCCATCCTCTTAAAAAAATTCAGCAGGGATCCCATCAGGTCCACTGGCTTTGTTATTTTTTTGTTGTTGTTGGCTGATGGCGTTTCTGACTTCTTTCAAGCTAGGCAGTGCTACAAACATGCCAAGAGAAAGGTGCCTCAAGCCAATTTCGACCGGGAGCGCCTTCCACCTGGAAACCAATGCCCTCACTGCAGGAGAACACACAGGTCAAGAATAGGGCTCCACAGTCACCTACGTACCCATCACCAGGACACCACACTTGGAGGACAATCTTACGAGGGATCGCCTAAGGAAGGAAGGAAGGAAGGTTCTGGCAAGTTGGCACACATGCTTAGGTACTATACTAGTTTGATAGGTCGGCCATAGCTGGGGGATTTAGGTCTGCGATTTCGGCCATTTTCACCAAGCCACCCAAACATCTTTGACACAGTTGGACATCTGAATAGCAGGCGTAGCTATTTCACAACTATTGTGATCCATGACTCCTCTCCTAATACATGAATAATCACCGATGGCTTTGTGTAAGAGGCGGAAACAATTTTGCCAACCAGTAGGCAGTCCCAAGGAACATGACAATACAAAAACAACACAAAGCTAAACAGATATTCTGGTTGAAGCAACTGGTAGTCCATCCTGCATATAAGTTCCAGCGGTGGTAGGTTCTCCTTATTCTGTTGGGGACATGGAACACCTCTATCCCATCTTACTTTGGGCAGGAAGAATGGCAGCCATTAGCTTACTCGTACTAATCACCTGGGCAATTTATTACGATCGGTCCAAGACGAAAATGGCCCCCGGATTTGACCATCCATGGAAGCTTCGCACCCTTCACTGCTTACTTATTATGACAATGACACTGGTAAGTTGGGAGTTTACAAGAGAATGGTGGGATGTGGATTAGTTTGTGGGGCAGACCACATCTCGCAGGTGTATAGCAGGATTGGGAGGACAATGGCTTTATCAACAAGCACCTTGGTCTCCCTATGGATGTCCCGGTCCTCAAACACTCTCTGCTTCATTCGGAGGAACGCTGCACTTGCAGAGCTCAGGTGATGTTGTATTTCAGTGTCAATGTTGACTTTTGTGGAGAGGTGGCTGCCAAGGGAGCGGAAATGGTCAACATTTTCTCCCTATGGATGTCCCAGTCCTCAAACACTCTCTGCTTCATTCAGAAGAACGCTGCACTTGCAGAGCTCTGGTGGTGTTGCATTTCAGTGTCAATGTTGACTTTTATGGATGTCTGTAGACAGTCCACGTTTTGAAGGCTTATAGCAGGGTTGAGAGGAGAATGGCTTTATCGACAGGCACCTTGGTCTCCTACGGATGTCCTGGTCCTCACACACTCTCTGCTTCATTCGGAAGAACGCTGCACTTGCAAAGCTCAGGCGGTGTTGCCTTTCAGTGTCAATGTTGACTTTTGTAGACGTCTGTAGACAGTTCACGTTTTGAAGGCTTATAGCAGGTTTGAGAGGAGAATGGCTTTATCAACAAGCACATTGGTCTCCCTACGGATGTCCCGGTCCTCAAACGCTCTCTGCTTCATTTGGAAGAACGCTGCACTTGCAGAGCTCAGGTGCTGTTGTATTTCAGTGTCAATGTTGACTTTTGTGGAGAGGTGGCTGCCAAGGGAGCAGAAATGGTCAACATTTTCTCCCTATGGATGTCCCAGTCCTCAACCACTCTCTGCTTCATTCGGAAGAATGCTGCACTTGCAGAGCTCAGGTGATGTATTTCAGTGTCAATGTTGATTTTTGTGGAGAGGTGGCTGCCAAGGGAGCGGAAATGGTCAACATTTTCTCCCTATGGATGTCCCAGTCCTCAAACACTCTCTGCTTCATTCAGAAGAACGCTGCACTTGCAGAGCTCTGGTGGTGTTGCATTTCAGTGTCAATGCTGACTTTTGTAGACGTCTGTAGACAGTCCACATTTTGAAGGCTTATAGCAGGGTTGAGAGGAGAATGGCTTTATAAACAAGCGCCTTGGTCTCCCTACGGATATCCCGGTCCTCAAACGCTCTCTGCTTCATTTGGAGGAACGCTGCACTTGCAGAGCTCAGGCGGTGTTGTATTTCAGTGTCAATGTTGACTTTTGTGGAGAGGTGGCTGCCAAGGGAGCGGAAATGGTCAAGGTTTTCTTCCTATGGATGTCCCAGTCCTCAAAAAACTCTCTGCTTCATTCGGAAGAATGTTGCACTTGCAGAGCTCTGGTGGTGTTGCATTTCAGTGTCAATGTTGACTTTTGTAGACGTCTGTAGACAGTCCACGTTTTGAAGGCTTATAGCAGGGTTGAGAGGAGAATGGCTTTATAAACAAGCACCTTGGTCTCCCTACCGATATCCCGGTCCTCAAACGCTCTCTGCTTCATTTGGAAGAACGCTGCACTTGCAGAGCTCAGGCGGTGTTGCATTTCAGTGTCAATGTTGACTTTTGTGGACCTCTGTAGACAGTCCACGTTTTGAAGGCTTGTAGCAGGGTTGAGAGGAGAATGGCTTTATAAACAATCACCTTGGTATCCCTACGGATGTCCCGGTCCTCAAACACTCTTTGCTTCATTCAGAAGAACGCTGCACTTGCAGAGCTCAGGCAATGTATTTCAGTGTCAATGTTGACTTTTGTGGAGAGGTGGCTGCCAAGGGAGCGGAAATGGTCAACATTTTCTCCCTATGGATGCCCCAGTCCTCAAACACTCTCTGCTTCATTTGGAAGAACACTGCACTTGCAGAGCTCAGGCGGTGTTGCATTTCAGTGTCAATGTTGACTTTTGTGGACGTCTGTAGACAGTCCACGTCTTGCAGGCATACAGCAGGGTTGGGAGGACCATGGCTTTATCAACAAGCACCTTGGTCTCCCTATGGATGTCCCGGTCCTCAAACACTCTCTGCTTCATTCGGAAGAACGCTGCACTTGCAGAGCTCTGGCGGTGTTGCATTTCAGTGTCAATGCTGACTTTTGTGGACGTCTGTAGACAGTCCACGTTTTGAAGGCTTATAGCAGGGTTGAGAGGAGAATGGCTTTATCAACAAGCACCTTGGTATCTCTATGGATGTCCCGGTCCTCAAACACTCTCTGTTTCATTCAGAAGAACGCTGCACTTGCAGAGCTCGAATGTGATACGCAACTCCTGGAATGATTCCATCAGCGCTGGCTTCGAAAAATCCTGCAAATCTCTTGGGAAGACAGGTGGACAAATGTCAGTGTGCTGGAAGAAGCAAAGACCACCAGCACTGAAGCGATGGTCCTTCGCCATCAACTCCGCTGGACTGGCCACACTGTCCGAATGCCCAAAGATCATAATCTCCCAAAGCAGTTGCTCTACTCCGAACTCAAGAATGAGAAACGTAATGTTGGTGGACAGGGAGATTGAATGATGGGCTTAAAACCACCCTCAAAAACTGTGGAATAGACACCGAGAACTGGGAAGCCCTGGCCCTTGAGTGCTCTAAGTGGAGGTCAGCTGTGACCAGCAGTAGTGGCACAAACAGAGGTCGAAAGGGAGAGATGTGCCAAGAGGAAGATGCATCAAGCCAATCCCAACCAGGACCTCCTTCCACCTGGAAACCAATGTTCTCACTATGGGAGAACATGTGGCTCAAGAATAGGGCTCCACAGCTATCTACGTACCCTCCACCACATCTGGAGGACCATCATCCTCGAGTGACAAGGGATCACCTAAGTAATTTTCTGGGGATACAGAAATTCGAAATAGGCTCTGGATTGGTCAAATGGGTGGTGGCTGTTCAGCCTACCAAATATGTCGAGGGCGGTGAAGCTAGACATCAGATCAGGGCAGATGGTGAACTCCAAAGAGCCAAAGATATCATAGGACCATGAAATTGGAAGAGACCACAAGGACTATCCAGTCCAGCTACAAGATCACATGGAGGACTTCAAGGAATGAAAGAAGTTGTAGGGTGCATCTATATGGTGGAATTAATGCCGTTCCGTTCCTATTGAACAGCCATCGGATCAATACTATGGAATGTTGGGAGTCATAGCTTGGTGAGGCCAAGAAGTCTCAAGATCTTGTAGGACTACGAATCATCCCAGGACATTTGGATCTTGGGCTACAGTTTGGAGACTTTGTTTTTGTGAGACATCCTGCAGCTCGTTTTGCGAGAGTCGCAACCAATTCAGCAATAGTTTGTGGCAACCACACAAAGTTTCTGGAGTAGACCAATTACTTTCAAAGAAAGTATTGCACAATGAAAGGGAAAATCACACTTCCAAACCAGGAACAGATTTCAAAATTTTGTTACGTAGCGCTATCCATCCAAAGATCGTCGTCCCGTTTTTCATTTGATGTTGTTCTTCCAAACAGGGCAAGATCCTCGAATGGTCGGGCCTCTGCAAACAGATCAGCTTTACCCGTTTCATGTTGAATCTCAAGATCGCAAAGCTACATCCTAGCCTCTCCACCAAGGACCTTTGTTTCGACGGAGTGCCGGTTCGGATCTACCAGCCGAAAGCTCCCTCTGCTGGCCGAAGGAAAGGATTCGTGTTCTTCCACGGGGGAGCCGGAATGATGGGAAGCATCGGTAAGAGATGACCGGCCATTCTGTGTCCTCTTCCCTGGGAATAATGATGCATCTACACTGTTGAAATAGTGCAGTTTAGTGCCATGGCTTTGTGTAATAGATACCTAGGAGTTACTGTTTTACAAGGCTTTCCCTCCCAAAGAGTAGAAGGGTGAAAATGGCATAGAATCCATTCTGTTTTCATTTTGTTTTTGTTCTGTTTTTGTTCTGCTTTTCTTCTGTTCTCATTCTGGTTTTGTTCTGTTTTCATTTCAGAAGGAAAGCAAAACAAAAGCAGAACAAAAACAATGAAAACGGAAACAAAACCAGGACAAAACCAGAGTGAAAACAAAAGGAAAGCAAAATAAAAACAGAACAAAAACAGAACAAAACCAGAACAAAATGAAAATGAAAACAGAACGAAAACAGAACGAAAACAGAACAAAAACAAAATGAAACCAGAACAAAAACAAAATGAAAGCAAAACGAAAACAGAACAAAAACAAAATAAAAACAGGAAACCAGAACAAAAACATTTTCACTCTGGTTTCGTTCTGGTTTCGTTCTGTTTTCATTGTTTTTGTTCTGGTTTTGTTTTGCTTTATCATCATCGTCATCATAATCATCATCATCATCATCACTTTATTTCTCAATTAGTCGCTCTCCACCAAAGTGTTCCGAGCGACTTACAATTTACTTCTGTTTTCACTCTGGTTTTGTTCTGGTTTTGTTCTGTTTTCATTGTTTTTGTTCTGGTTTTGTTTTGCTTTACGTCTGTTTTCACTCTGGTTTTGTCCTGGTTTATTTTCTGTTTTCATTGTTCTTGTTCTGTTTTTGTTCTGCTTTTTTCACGCTGGTTTTGTTCTGTTTTCATTGTTTTTGTTCTGCCTTTGTTCTGTTTTCATTGTTTTTGTTCTGTTTTTGTTCTGCTTTTCTTCTGTTTTCACTCTGTTTTTTGTTCTGTTTGTGTTCTGTTTTCATTGTTTTTGTTCTGTTTTTGTTTTGCCTTTATTCTGTTTTCACTCTGATTTTGTCCTGGTTTCATTTTGTTTTTGTTCTGTTTTTGTTTTGCTTTCCTTCTGTTTCAACTCTGGTTTTGTTCTGGTTTCGTTCTATTTTCAGGTGCTCCCGCCTTTCCCCCATTCTATTTTTGGGAATATTCCAAATCCCGAATCCTGAATCTGAATGACCGCCCTCATAATCTCCCAAAAGCAGAATGGAGAGCACCTGAAATTTGAAGCAGAAACAGATCTAAAACAGAATGGATTCACACATACTAAAGAGTGCTGGTGCCTTGCTCAACTACAACTCCCCGGATTCCATAAAATGTTGCTGTGGCAGTTCAAGTAGAATCATAGCAGTGAAATCCACACCCACTCACTTTGTAAGCGCATTATAATGTTGGTCAAGATTTCTTCCTTTTTGGCCACCTAACCCCCTGTTTTTTCTCCTATAGATTACTACCAAGACGTTTGCTCTAAACTTGCCAAGGAGAGCCAGGCAGTGCTTGTATCTGTGGGGTAAGTGAATCCAAACAACACACATTTTGCACTGGCTTCTTGTATAACTTGATTGATTTGCCTTGCCATGTACTTCCACAACTAGCAGTCAACTTATATCTATTGGAATATCACGAGAGTGAGTTGCTTTTGTAAAGGACACTAGCATCGAATCCTGCTCATGGTTCTTCTCATGAAACTACATATCCCAGGATACTACGGGAAGGAAGCATAGTCTTTAATGTAGAATCGAAATGGTAGAAATGTGTAGCACATTAAGGACACCTGGGTTTAGTCACCTATAGCCATGGGGAGCCTTTATGCCAGCATAGTATTGAGTCACAGCAGTTGAAGTGTAGATGCATGCTAAGGCGCTACAATTTCACAATGCACATACATGTCAAGACTCGTAGGATTCATGCCACTGGGGAACAAACGGGAATATGTGTCAGATGTGCATATATAACTCTTAATGTGTCACCAGGAAAGAGTGTGAGTTATTATCCCAGACTCAATTGGCACGCAAGCCTTGATGTTATAGGTGATGATTACACTATGTAACACGTTTTTTTGCTCCTGGGTTATAAATGTCATTTCCTAATTGTTTCTATGATTTTTTAAAAAATGGGAAAAGTAGATTCAATTGCCAAAACTTTCTTTTTGCTGGAGGGACACCTTGCTATAATACACTTCACTCCAGTCTTTCAATGAATATCTCAACTAATTCAACAAAAACAGTTATAACTCTATCTATCTATCTATCTATCTATCTATCTATCTATCTATCTATCTATATGGCTGGATGGCTTTTTGTCAGGAGGGCTTATATTTTCTTGCCCTGGTGAAGGGAATTGGACTGGATGGCCTGAAGGCAGCATTTCTCAACCTGGGGATCCCTGGGGGGGGGGTCACAAGGGGGATGTCAGAAGGGTCAACAAAGTCCATCAGAAAACACAGTATGTTCTGTTGGTCATGGGGGTTCTGTGTAGGAAGTTTGGTGGAATTCTATCGGTGGGGTGCAGAATGCTCTTTGATTGTAGGTGAACTATAAATCCCAGCAACCACAACTCCCAAATGTCAAGGTCTATTTTCCCCAAACCCCATCTGTATTCATATTTGGGCATACTGAGTATTCATGCCAAGTTTGGTCCAGATCCATCATTGTTTGAGTCCACAGTCCTCTTTGGATGAAGGTGAACTGTAACTCCAAAACTCAAGGTCAGTGCCCACCAAACTCCTCCTAGTATTTCCTGTTGGTCTTTGAAGTCCTGTTTGCCAGGTTTGGTTCAATTCTATAATTAGTGGAATTCAGAATGCTCTTTGATGGTAGGTGAACTATAAATCCCAGCAACCACAACTCCCAAATGTCAAGGTCTATTTCCCCCAAACCCCATCTGTGTTCATATTTGGGCATACGGAGTATTCGCACCAAGTTTGGTCCAGATCCATCATTGTTTGAGTCCACAGTCCTCTTTGGATGAAGGTGAACTATAACTCCAAAACTCAAGGTCAGTGCCCACCAAACCCCTTCTAGTATTTCCTGTTGGTCTTGGAAGTTCTGTTTGCCAAGTTTGGTTCAATTCTATCATCAGTGGAATTCAGAATGCTCTTTGATGGTAGGTGAACTATAAATCCCAGCAGCTACAACTCCCAAATGTCAAGGTCTATTTTCCCCAAACTCCATCTGTGGTCATATTTGGGCATACGAAGTATTTGCACCAAATTTGGTCCAGCTCCATCATTGAGTCCACAGTCCTCTTTGGATGAAGGTGAACTATAACTCCAAAACTCAAGGTCAGTGCCCACCAAACCCCTTCTAGTATTTCCTGTTGGTCTTGGAAGTTCTGTTTGTCAAGTTTGGTTCAATTCCATCATTAATGCTCTTTGACAGATGTCCCGGTCCTCAAACACTCTCTGCTTCATTCGGAAAAATGCTGCACTCGCAGAGCTCAGGCAGTGTGGAATGTGATGGAAAACTGTTGGTCGTTAACAATAAAGTTCCTTTGTAAACAAAGACACTCTTCGTTGAATGACAGTTAGGGAATGGTTGGAAAGGTTTTGCAGATGATTAACTTTGTGTTTGTGTTACGACTCTCCAGGTATCGCCTCTCTCCCGAACATCCATACCCCACACAGTGTGAGGACTGCCTCGCGGCGACGGTTCACTTCATGAAAAACGCCGAGATCTATGGGGTGGATTCTTCCCAGATCGTCATTGGCGGAGACAGCGCCGGAGGCAATTACGCCACTGCAATTGCCCAGAAATTGGTGGGGAGACCCGACCTTCCAAAACTGAGAGCTCAAGTCCTGATGTACGCAGGTACCCAAGCCATGGACTTCAACTTGCCTTCTTATCAGCAGAACGGCACGATGCCGCTCTTGTTCCGGGACAGCGTGACTTTCTATGGCCTGAAATATTTCGGAAAGAGCACTTCTTTGTCCGACGACCTGCTGAGGGGTTGTCACGTGCCGGATGAAATGAGGCTGAAATGCAACAAGTGGATAAGCCTGGAGAACCTTCCGGAGAGATCTCTGCGCAGAGGCTATCAACAAATCCCAGAAGCTCCTTGCAAGCTCGAAGTGTACGAACAATTGCCGGAGATCCTTGACATCTCTTTCTCTAGCCTTTTTGCTGACGATGCCATCATTCGACAGCTTCCGGAGACTTTCATGGTGACCTGCGAATACGACGTGCTTCGGGACGACAGCTTGCTCTACAAGAAGCGCTTGGAGGACAACGGCGTCAAAGTCAGCTGGTTCCATTCAGAAAACGGGTTCCATGGCGTGATAAACTGCATCGACTTGTGGTTTCTCACATTCCCTGCTGGGATAGAAATCCTGGATCGTGTCACGGAATTTGTCCAGAGTTTATAAATGCTTTCTGCTGAAATTGTAACTCCATAGCGGCCACGAAGTTGTGTGTGTTTGGTGCCATTTCACATACATGTTTATATATTGTGTCTTGGAGATTGTACGCACTAATGTAGGCAACATCCAGGTGGTTTGCATCACATATGATCTCCACATTGTTATGAACCCAAAGAGGTTCCTGTTCTTTGTGCAGAGTGTTCAAGGAATAGTAAGGTAGTTTAGATCAATGGGACACTTTAGAGACCAAATTTGGGTTTGACACTATTCTTGTAACATTTATTGAAATACAATCATCACAGAATCATATCAGAATTACATCAAGGAGAGCTCTTGTGCACACACACATTCACGCATACTCACGCACACACAGGCCTCCTCCGGCGAAGATGATCAGTCTTTTCCGAGGAGGTGCGGATGCTCCGTTGCCATGGATCAGGAAGCGTACATGCTCTTGGGGTCCCCTGCATTTATAGACCAAAATCCATTTTTCTTCTTCTTAATAATCAGGCTGTTCTGTTATTTCAAGTCCTTGTTCTTTTCAACTTTCAGGATATTCGCATTCCAGGCCTCATGACTTATGGGGTACACCTACACACTCCTTATCCTCCTTACATGCTTGGCCGCACACCGTATTGTTCATTGTCACTCAGTTATGCCTTGCTGCTTCCTCGCTTCGACTGTCAAGTTCGTCCCACACAATGCTTTGCGAGAACTCCATGTTGGTTTTCTTCAGGCCTGCTTTTCTGTTCCTCTGCATGAATTCAAAACATTCATTCTTTACAATGTCATGATGGAGGGGAGCAATGTCATGGGCAAAAGTGTCACATTCATCGACCCCAGCAGAATGGTCCTCATTTTCTAGAAGCGTGACTGTAGTAGGCCTCCAATTCACCTGAAGGTCACAAGAGGCCACAAAATCGTGGCTTGTGAAGCTGAGTCCCAACCCAGGCATCTGGATTGGGTTAGCTTCTCCTGCTTCCAATCTTTCGGGTGGATGAAAGCTGGGAAGATAACCTCCCTGAAGCACATCTCTGATCAGAGATAAGATTACTGATTCTCTCCATCCTAGACCTTCCCTTCTTATCTCTGATCGGCAATTGCACACTTCTAGATGGGAAAGAAAATAGTGCAGGGGTGGTAATCTACTTGTACAGATGGCATAGCTTTGGGTGAAACTTCTCAAGAACTTCCTGGGTGTCGTATGGGGCACCCCCATGCACCAGTTTAGGTTCAGGTGTCAGCAATCCCCCTCCTCAGGTCTAGTCTAAAGACTAAGGTCATAACAGCTTTGAGATTAATGCCTTCCAACACATTATTGAAATTAGTGATAGATAGCCTGCTCCTCAGGCCATCTATTACAAATCTCTAAAGATCTCTATATAATCCAGTCCTTTGATCTCTTGATAATAATAATAATAATAATAATAATAATAATAATAATAATAAACCTTTATTTATACCCCGCTACCATCTCCCGCAGGACTCGGTGCGGCTTTCAAGAGGCCGAGCCCAAATACATCAATAAAACAACAACGACAACAATACAACAATAAATAAACTCATAAACAAAGCAAAAACAATAACAATAATATCACGACGCATTAAAAACCGGAGGCAGGGTCAAAAGTAATGGTTAAAATTTTTAAAATGCTAGGCATGTCCAAGTGAAATAGGATAGATATTTTTGGGATAGGTGGGCGAGCAGACAATCCTAAATCTCTCGTAAAGATTATGGCAATGATTACACTACGTAACATGAGTTATCAAAGTCATTTCTTAATTGGTTCCATCATAAACACATGGATAAAGTTTATTAAACTAAAAAATTATCTCCTGGAGTCAACCAATTCAACATGGTTTGTGGCAGCCACAAAAACAAAATATTTTGGAGTAGAACAATTACTTTCAAAGTACCACACTATTAAGCATAAAAAATTTTCAAACCAAGAACAGAATTTTTTCAAATTTATATTTGAAAAAAAAATTAAAATATAAATTTAAAAATATAAATTTAGTTATATAGTGTTATTTACTCCCAACTGCTGTGGACACAGGGAATCAATGATTGTATGGTGAGTCAGCATGTAGGAAAATCACATTAATTCCATAGGTTCATTCTAGTTGTTACAGGTTTGAGGACTGTATTATATTTTGTAAGAATGCAAGATACTATGAAGTTATCTGGTGCTACTTTGGTGTCATCCACAAATAAGATTATTATGATGACCAGTTATCCTGTTGAACGCCATGGAGTTCTATCAGAAAAATCTGATAGTTTCAGACCAAAGTTACAATCATTCAACATTAGATGTTGAATGAAGACATGAACAATCTTTGAGATGCAGAATGGACGTTTGGTGAAAGATGATGCAATCCAGCCATTCAATGCTTGATATAAACTATTAGTCATTCTTGCGTTGCGATTGCATGTGATTCATTGTTCACCTCCAATGTTTGCACTCTTATATGCATAATGTATATGGAAAATATTTTTATTAATAAAGTTTTATGAACATCATGCATTCTGTGTATTATGAATCTTCAGAATTCAATAAGGTGTCCTTCCTTCCAGTTAGAACACAGCGTAGTAAATTACTCTTCTTTCGATCTCTCAATTTGTTCTTGTTTTTTATTGCTGTCAAGTTAATTGATTTTGATTTGTTGTGATTTTTTTCATAATAGATTTTTATTAAACACACCAAAGGAAGTATTATTTACATGGAAAGAGGAGGAACAATAGGATAGAGGAGAAAGTAGGAAATGAGTTTGTAAATCTTAACCAAATCTGCAACTACTATCAAAAGACGAGAGAGGAAATAAGAGAAAAAGGAGGGGGGGAAAAGAGAGAGACAAAAGTCACTTTGAACTTCTATTCTAAGCCTCTGCGGTGATTGGTTTCTTTTTGTTTATTTAAAAAAGTAAAAGTATTCATCTAAAATAGTAAAATAAAGTAAAAAGATGGAGCAAAAGTGGCAGGCCCCTTGTTTTCCATTATATGGACTCCTGGTGACCCGAATTAGTTTTTGTCTTTTTAATACTCTTCAAAAAGTCTCCAATTTGTCGACTTTATCGGGTGCCCGAGATCTTTTTCAAGACAAAAATTAATTTGTCCATGTCTTTAATTTCCTTTATTTTGCTTATCCAATTGTTCATTGTATTTCTTCCAGTTTCCACAGTTTCACATATTGCTGCGGTGGTCATAAATAATAATATGTCCTTATTTGTTGCAATTTTATGAACAAGTCAATCTATAGTCAACAGCCTTTCTCAAGTCTTGCAGACTCAGCAGTGTGGCTTTCTTTAATGAGTCTATCAAACACTAATGCAACATTAATTCTTTGGCTTCCCACTTTACTTGGGCCTAAGGTTATTCAACCTGTTTATCAATGACTTAGATGATGGAATAGAGGCCCTGTTGGTTCAAAGTGCAGGTGGCACCAACTTGGGATAGATAGTTAAGATCCCAAAAGACAACATCAGATTCTAAAATGATGTTCAGAGATTAGACAACTGGGCCAAAACCAAACATAAATGAATTTCAACAAGGAGGTGGAAAAAGTAGACAAAATTTTTGAGAGTGTGGAATGGGACTCTTTGGAAGTAAATAAAGTACTAGAGAGGTTGAAATGGGACACTTTAGAAGAAGTAGACAGACAAAGTGTGAAATGGGATGCTTTCGGTTGAAGGAGTAGACAAAGTTATAGAGAACTTGAAATGGGACACTTTGAGAGGAAGAAGCAGACAAAGTTATAGAGAACTTGAAATGGGACACTTTGAGAGGAAGAAGCAGACAAAGTTCTAGAGAACTTGAAATGGGACACTTTGAGAGGAAGAAGCAGACAAAGTTATAGAGAACTTTATCCCATTTCAAGTTCTCTATAACTTTGTCTGCTTCTTCCTCTCAAAGTGTCCCATTTCAAGTTCTCTAGAACTTTGTCTGCTTCTTTGCGAGGAAGAAGTAGACAAAGGCTTAGAGAACTTGAAATGGGACACTTCAAGAGGAAAAAGTAGACAAAGTTCTAGAGAACTTGAAATGGGACACTTTGAGAGGAAAAAGTAGACAAAGTTCTAGAGAACTTAAAATGGGATACTTTGCGAAGAAGAAGTAGACAAAGTTCTAGAGAACTTAAAATGGGATACTTTGCGAAGAAGAAGTAGACAAAGTTTTAGAGAACCTCTGTATTCTACTGTGGTGAAACCTTCTCACCTGGAATAATATCCCTACATCCAGTTCTGGGACAAACCATTCAAAAAGGAGATGGAGAAGATGATAGAAAGCCACCAAAAAAGATTCCAAAGCTGTAAGAGGAGCAGCTGAGGGATCTGGGAATGTTTAGCTTGGAGAAGAGACGCTTTGGAGGATAAGCTATAGGAGCCATGTTCAAATTTTTCAAAGGATGTCACATTAAGGAGGAGGCAGGCTTGCTTTCCGAGAACATAACAAAATAATGGGTCTAAATTACAGGAAGAGTTTCCACCTCAACATTAGGAAGAATGTTGATAGTTCAGCAGTGCCCGCTCTCCTTCTCTGGAGGTCTGAAAGGCCATCTTTTGGGAGGGCTTTGATTGAGTGTCCTTGCATGGCATAAGGGAGTTGGACTGGGTGGCCATTGGGTTTCCTCCAGATCCTTTTCTGGAGGTCTGGAAGGCCATCTTTTGATTGGGTGTCCTTGCATAGCATAATGGAGTTGGGCTGGGTGGCCTTTGGGTTTCCTCCAAATCCTTCTCTGGAGGTCTGGAAGGCCATCTTTTGGGAGGCCTTTGATTGGGTGTCCTTGCATGGCACAAGGGAGTTGGGCTGGCTGGCCTTTGGGTTTCCTCCAGATCCTTCTCTGGAGGTCTGGAAAGCCATCTTTTGGGAGGGCTTTGATTGGGTGTCCTTACATGGCACAAGGGAGTTGGGCTGGGTGGCCTTTACTCAAATGGACTTTACTCAAATGGAAGACACCAGATATCAGTGTTCCACTGCTCCATTGCCACCAAGACCAACCTTCTGTTAGCTCTCTTTTGTTGTTGTTAATGGGCAGCGACGTTACAGATTGCACAAGTGTTTGGGTGAAGAAAGCCTCACCCAGTTAGTGCATAAAGTCGGGTGTGTTGACAATTTCTGAATCGATAAGCAATCTCAAGAAGAACATCCTGGAGAAAGTGAGGCAGATACTTCACACTCGTCAACAGTGCTGCTTGCTGACATAGCTGGTCATTGCTTTCCGAAAAGGAGGAAATGGAGCTCCTTTCCATCATCTTGTGGTGGGCAACAGGAATTATTGGGATCAGCTACCTCGTGATCCTCGCCTGGGCCATTGCTTATGACTTCGCCAAGACGAGGATAGACCCGGGCTTTGACCATCCGTGGAAACTCCGAGTGCTTCACTGGAACTTCATTATGCTGTTCACGACCGTAAGTTTGCCGCAATGACTGCGATATCGAAACTGGAGATTGCGGGAAAGTGAAAGACAGCTTTGAAACTCCTCCAAGACTTGTTATTTCGTTTTGAAAACCTGACAGGTATAGATATTGACGGGCATCCTTTTGTAAACCAATTTACATTTATGTAATACTAGCTGTGGCTCAGTCTGGTGATCTGGAAAGCTTGCATCTTGGAAGCAGTGCATTTGGATCCTCCTCCTCTCCTAAAGGGCCTGGTTTAGCGGATGTTGGGAACTGTAGTCCAGAAGAGAATGTGGATATGCTGTTGTGAGTGTTGTTTGCCAGGGGGAGTCTTTTTTGTGTATGCACTGCAGCGTCTTTTTGGGCTTTTTTGGCTTTTTTAAAACTTTTTTTTTACTTTGACTTGTATACCGCTACTCTCAATTTGGCTCGGAGCGGTTTACAGCCGTAGATTAAAACAATACAATTAACTTTAAAATGCAATAAAAACAAGAACAGACATAATCCCGAGTTATTCACCCATCGAAAGCTTGTCGGAAGAGAAAGGTTTTACAGGCTTTCCGAAAAGCAAGTAGGTCTCGGATGGTTCGGGTTTCAACTGGCAAGGCATTCCATAAATAAGGGGCCACAATCGAGAAGGCTCTCTGCCTAAGAGAGGACAGATGATAAGTCCGGATGTTAGGGACTTCAAGCAAATTTTGGTCTTCGGACCGAAGTAATCTCTGGGGTTGGTAGGGGGATAAGCGGGCCCTCAGGTACGCCGGCCCCAGACCATATAAGGCCTTAAAGGTTAGTACCAGCACCTTGAAAGTAATCCGGTACTCAATCGGAAGCCAGTGCAGCTGTTGTAGAATTGGGGTGATACGACAACTCGCCGGCACTCCGGCGAGAAGACGAGCCACCGCATTTTCCACTAGTTTCCGGATCAATGACAAAGGAAGGCCACTGTAGAGGGCGTTACCGTAATCAAGCCTCGAGATGACCGTCACCTGGATCACTGTAGCCAGGTCGTTCCTAGATAGGTAGGGAGACAGTCGCCTAGCCTGACGTAGGTGGAACAACGCAGATCTGCTCACAGCAGAGACCTCGGCCTCACTTGTGAGCAGAGGGTCCAATAAGACACCAAGACTCTTTACAGAAGGTGACGGACGTAGTGTCTCACCATCCAGGGTAGGCAGCTGGGTCTCCCTCCCACCCGGATGGCCCAGCCAAAGGATCTCCATCTTCGCTGGATTCACCCTCAATCTGCTGGCACACAACCATCCCGTAACGGCCTCAAGGCACTGATGGAAATTTTCGGGTATAGAGTCCGGCCCGCCCTCCATCCTCAGAATGAGCTGAGTGTCATCAACGTACTGGTGGCACTCAAGCACAAGCTTCGCACCAGTCGGGCAAGCGGTCGCATATAGATGTTAAATAATAGAGAGAGAATAGCTCCCTGCGGGACCCCACAAGTTATCGGAGATCTCTCGGAAACCATCCCTCCCCTCACCACATACTGTCCCCGATTTTGGAGGAAGGAGGACACCCATTTAAGGGGTATCCCCCTAACCCCAGTCATGGCTAGGTGGTTGGTCAATAGATTGTGATCGACCGTATCAAATGCTGCTGTGAGGTCCAATAACACGAGCAACGCTGATCCGCCTTGATCCATCTGGCAGCGAAGCTGATCTGTGATGGCAACTAGCACAGTCTCCGTCCCGTGCCCCCTACAGAAGCCGGACTGGAAGGGATCAAGTCCGGCTGTGTCATTTAGGAACTGCTGCAACTGTTCCGCTGCTGCCCTCTCAACCATCTTGCCCAGAAACGGAAGGTTCGAGACTGGGCGGTAGCTAGAGGGAACCACTGTGTTTTCCAGTATTTTTATGAATGGTGGTCACTCGTTGGCCTGAGAGGTGTCTTGTGTCCAATTTGGGTGTCAGTGTTGATGTGGAGATAATCTGTTTGCCTACTCTGGAACATGCAACATGGAACACGTCCTTTTTAGGGGTCCCTTTCAAATCTATGATACTATCTGTGTGTGTGTGTGAATCATATATATCTATCTATTAGGGCTGGGCGGTTTCATTTCGTTAATTCGTAATTCGTTAAAAATTCGTTATTTTTTTGTTAACGAAGCGATAACGAACCATTCTGGAGCAACCTAAAAACGAAATGAATTTTTCAATTCGATTAGTAAATGCTTCGTATTTCGTTATGTATTCGTTTCGTTATTGGTTTGAGGTCGTTTCGTTATTATTTACGCATGTCTGGGGCAAGTTTTATAGTTGTTTTTTGTTTAATTAGTGAAAAAAAATTATAATATCACACCAACAGTCAACAACAGAGGGAGAGGGAAGCTTCAGAAGTTTTTTTAGCGTATTGTGCGATCGTGGCCGCCATTAACGAATCGATTCATTATTGTTTTGTTATTGTTTTGTAATTTTTTTACCATTTACGAAATTTCGTAAATATCGAACTTTTTTTAAGGAAAATTTCGGAATTCTTTTAAATATCGAAACGCAAAAAACCCCAAAAAACGAATCGATTTTAGAAACAATTTTTCCGTTGTTACCCAGGCCTACTATCTATATCTATAGCTGGATGGCTCTTTGTCAGGAGGGCTTTGATTATGTTTTCTTGCCCCAGTGAAAGGAGTTGGACTGGATGGCCTTAAGTATTTTCTGTTGGTCATGGGGGTTCTGTGTGGGAAGTTTGGTTCAATTCCATCCTTGGTGGAGTTCAGAATGCTCTTTGATTGTAGGTGAACTATAAATCCCAGTAACGACAACTCCCAAATGTCAAGGTCTATTTTCCCCAAACTCCATCTGTGTTCATATTTGGACATATTGAGTATTCGTGTCAAGTTTGGTCCATATCCATCAGTGCTTTCTGGATGTTGGTGAAGTACAACTCCCAAACTCAAGGTCAATACCCACCAAACCCTTCTAGTGTTTTCTGTTTGTCATGGGTGTCCTGTATGCCACGTTTGGTTCAATTCCATCACCCTGGATTCGAACCTGTGTCCTTTTGGTCAGCAAGCTCAGCTGCTCAGCGGTTTAACCCACTGCGCCACCGGGGTGGACATTATTTCTTAGTCAAACATGTTATAAAACTTTATATAATTGCCATTTGCTAAGCCCATCATTCTAGAGTTATGAAAGAAATCAGGATTTTAAAATAAAAGAAATGGAATGGTAATGGAAATAAATAGTCTCATGACAATAGAGATGCTGACATGCATTAAGTAATATTCATGCAGAAGAGGGTTGGATTGTTTCATTTCCCAGTTCTTGTGAAATCTCAAAGGGACACTCCTCCAGAATCAGATCTGTCATTGTTTACAACTCATGCATTGAATGAGCCAAACCAAGCAAACAAACCGGTTTCGGCGATGATATGGGCATAGTATCCTTCACTTTAGAGCACTTTGTATCCAAAAGTGCTCCATTCAAGGAATGAAAACACAAGGCCAGGAATGGGAAATAAAGGCTTGTGCAGATGATATGCTGTGCACGTTAAGGGACCCAAACAAGGAGCAAATGATTTTATTTATTTATTTATTGAATTTACGGGGGAAGAGAAAAAAAATGGTAGGGGAGGTATAGGAGTACTTTACTTACTTACTTAGGCTATCCCTCGTAGTCCGAGGATGATGGTCCTCCAAGTGTAGTGTCCTGGTGGTGGGTCTGTAGGTGACTGTGGAGCCCTATTCTTGACCTGCATCTTCTCCTGCAGTGAGGGCATTGGTTTCCAGATGGAAGGCAGTCCTGGTCGGGGTTGGCTTGACGTGCCTTCCTCTTGGCACTTTTCTCTCTTTCACCCTCCATTCGTGCCTCTTCAGATTCTGCAGCACAGTAGATCTCCAAATGGAGCGCTCAAGGGCCAGGGCTTCCTGTGTCTCAGTGTCTATGCCAGAGTTTTTAAGGTTGGCTTTGAGCCCATCTTTGAATCTCTTTTCCTGTCCTCCAACATTCAATTTTCCGTTCTTGATTTCGGAATAGAGAAACTGCTTTGGGAGATGGTGGTCGGGCATCTGGACAACATGGCTGGTCCAGCAGAGTTGATGGTGGAGGACCATCACTTCAATGCTGGTGGTCTTTGCTTCTTCTTCCAGCACGCTGACATTTGTCCGCTTGTCTTCTCAAGAGATTTGCAGAATTTTCCGGAAGCAACGCTGGTGGAATTGTTCCAGGAGTTGAGTGTGACATCTGTAGACAGTCCACATTTTGCAGGAGTATAGCAGGGTTGGGAGGACAATAACTTTATAAACAAGCCCCTTGGTCTCCCTACGGATGTCCTGGTCCTCAAACACTCCCTGCTTCATTTGGAAAAATGTTGCACTCGCAGAGCTCAGGCTATTTCAGTGTATTTCAGTGTCAATGTTGATGTCTGTAGACAGTCCACATCTCATAGGTGTATAGCAGGGTTGGGAGGACAATAATTTTATAAACACGCCCCTTGGTCTCCGTACGGATGTCCCGGTCCTCGAACACTCTCTGCTTCATTCAGAAAAAAGCTGCACTCACAGAACTCAGGCGGTGTTGTATTTCAGTGTCAATGTTGACGTCTGTAGACAGTCCATGTCTCGCAGGCGTATAGCAGGGTTGGGAGCACAATAACTTTATCAACAAGCACCTTGGTCTCCCTATGGATGTCCCGGTCCTCGAACACTCTCTGCTTCATTCGGAAAAAAGCTGCACTCACAGAACTCAGGCGGTGTTGTATTTCAGTGTCAATGTTGACGTCTGTAGACAGTCCATGTCTCGCAGGCGTATAGCAGGGTTGGGAGCACAATAACTTTATCAACAAGCACCTTGGTCTCCCTATGGATGTCCCGGTCCTCAAACACTCTCTGCTTCATTCGGAAAAATGTTGCACTCGCAGAGCTCAGGTGGTGTTGTATTTCAGTGTCAATGTTGATGTCTGTAGACAGTCCACGTCTCGCAGGCGTATAGCAGGGTTGGAAGGACAATAACTTTATAAACAAGCACCTTGGTCTCCCTACGGATGTCCCAGTCTTCAAACACTCTCTGCTTCATTTGGAAAAATGTTGCACTCGCAGAGCTCAGGCAGTGTTGAATTTCAGTGTCAATGTTGACTTTTGTGGAGAGGTGGCTGCCAAGGGAGCGGAAATGGTCAATGGAAATATCAGCAACAACAACAATTTTATTGATTAGCTAATTGGCCTTATCAAAAACAAACAATGCATACATAACATACAACATATAACATACATCTAGTCCTCTTAAAATAAAATACAAATATTTATATGATAGCAATGATCCAAGCAACAAGACCCTTTTGGGTAGAAAGAGCAAAGGAAATGGGAAATTTAAAACGTGGTGTCTCTCAACTTCGCTACAACATTGGAGAAAAAAAAAACCCATGCCCTGCCATGTACTTGCAGAGATTGCAAAAAGATGTTTCTATTTCCGTTTGACTTCCTCTCTTTCCCCAAACAGGGGAAGATCTTGGAATGGCTGGGCGTATGTAGTCAGGTGGTCTTCGTCCGCCTCATGACGGATCTCAGGAGGTTCAAGGTTCCTCCCAACCTCTACACCAAAGACCTGGATTTCGACGGTGTCACTGTCAGGATTTACCTCCATAAAACACCGAGTCCCGTCCGAAGGAAGGGATTCGTTTTCTTCCACGGAGGGTCTGGACTTGCCGGAAGCATCTGTAAGTGTGTAAGGTTGGAGCCCTATTGTTGTGTATGATATTATTGAGGATATCCCAGCAGAAGTTGACCACAGAGTCATACCAGAAGACCTGGGATTGAATGAATGGATTTTCTTTGCAGTTGACAGATCGTGATTTTGTTGATGTTGATTGTTTCCAAATGCTGGCTGATAGGCCTGTTTGATCAAGAAAAAATTTGGTTCTAAAATCGATTTGTAATTGGGGTGTTTTTTTGTTTCGATATTTAAAATAATTACAAAACTTTCCAAAAAAAAGTTTTGGTATTTAAGAAATTTTGTAAATATTAACGAATTTTTAGAATATTTTTTGTATTTCTTAAGAATAATATTAAAATAATATTAAAAATATTTTAAAATGGAAAATTAACCAAAAAATGGCCCAAATGTGGACCAAACACAGGCAAGAGACAGAAAATGAGAGCACACACCAACAGAAGAGTCTTTTCATTTTTAGAATATTTTTTAAAAATAATATTAAAAATAATATTAAAAATAATATTAAAATAATATTAAAAAAATTATTATAATATTATAATATTAAAAAAATCATCTGGGGAGGCCCTTCTCTCGGTCCCGCCTGCCTCACAGACACGTTTGGCAGGGACGAGAGAGCGGGCCTTCTCGGTGGTGGCCCCCCGGCTTTGGAACTCCCTCCCTGCTGAAGTTAGACAGGCGCCTTCCCTTATGGCCTTTCGTAAGGGCCTGAAAACATGGCTCTTCGAGATGGCCTTCAATTGAGTGCTATGTTACTGGAATTGACGACCGGAATGGACTGCGATTATGAGACGGATTATGACCCTATGATATGACGAAGCGGATTTTTAGTATAGTAGTGCTATGTAGTAGTAGAATGTTGTGTATTGTTGTTTTATTGTAAGCCGTCTTTTCTATGTGGTTGTACACCGCCACGAGTCGCCCCAGGGCTGAGAGTGGCGGTCTATAAGTGCAAGAAATAAATAAATAAATAAATAATAATAAAATGGAAAATTAACCAAAAAATGACCAAACACAGGCAGGATACAGCAAATGAGAGCACACACCAACAGAAGAGTCTTTTCTTTTTTAGAATATTTTTTAAGAATAATATTAAAATAATATTAAAAAATAATATTAAAAATAATATTAAAAAATAATATTAAAAAATAATATTAAAAATATTTTAAAATGGAAAATTAACCAAAAAATGCCCCAAATGTGGACCAAACACAGGCAAGAGACAGCAAATGAAGCAAGCAGCACTCACAGCAGCAAGGAATGAATCCAATCCCAGTTGCTAGCAGCCATTGCCAAGCCAACCCAATGCAAACTCCCTCGCCCTCTGCAGCAAGCTACGGGCCGCGCGGAGCCGCTTTGAAAGGGCTCGCCGGCCAATCAAAAAGAGACAGCCACGGACCCATGGTGCACTGCTTGGGAGCGCCGGATTGGCTCCCATGCACCAGCACTCCAGCAGCCTCCACCCCATTAACGAAACGAGCGGAGGCTCGTAAATACTATGGGGGCTGCTGGTTCGATATTTATAAACCCTTCCGGGTTTGGAGATTTGTTTCAATATCGCTTCGGAAATGGTAAAATTAACGAATTATTAACGAATTAACGAATTAACGAACGAAATCGCACAGGCCTACTGGCTGAGATCTTTTGGCACGGCACCCAGTGTGCCCATGACCACTGGGACCACCTGGACTGGCTTATGCCAGAGCCTTTGCTTTATTATCATTACTAGCCGTCCCCTGCCATGCGTTGCTGTGGCCCACATGGCTTTTCTGTGTGGGAGTTTTGGGCCAATTCTAATGTTGGTGGGGTTCAGAATGCTCTGTGATTGTAGGTGAACTATAAATCCCAGCAACTACAAGATTCTATTTTCCCCAAACTCCACCAATGTTCACATTTGGGCATATGGAGTATTCGTGTAGAATTTGGTGCAAATCCATCATTGTTTGAGTCCACAGAGATCTCTGGATGTAGGTGAACTACAACTCCAAAATCAAAGGACACTGCCCACCAAACCTTTGCAGTATTTTCTGTTGGTCATGGGAGAACAGTGTGCCAAGTTTGGTTCAATTCCATCGTTGGTGGGGTTCAGAATGCTCTTTGATTGTAGGTGAACTATAAATCCCAGCAACTACAACTCCCAAATGACAAAATCATTTTCTTTGAGTGAAGGGCATACATTGGGTTGTTAGGTGTCTTGTGTCCAAATTTGGTGTCAATTAGTCCAGTGGTTTTTGAGTTCTGTTATTCCCACAAATGAATATTTTATTTATATCGATTATTATTATTATTATTATTATTATTATTATTAATATTAGTATTATTTTACTAATGCAAAAACTCAGTATGTCACAGTAAATGAGATCTATATGCTGGATTTCATACCACAAAATCACAAGTCAAACACGTCCCAAGCGTTGTCATTATTATTATTATTATTATTATTACTATTATTATTATTAGCTCATTATATTATTATTGTTGTTATTATTATTATTATTATTATTATTATTATTATTATTATTATTATTAGAAACACAACAGACAAGATCACTCTGCTAGTTGTATTATTATTATTATTATTATTTTACTAACTCAAAAACTCAGTATGTCACAGTAAATGAGATCTATATGCTGGATTTCGTATCACAAAATCACAAGTCAAACACGTCCCAAGCGTTGTCATCATCATCATCATCATCATCATCATTATTATTATTATTATTATTATTATTATCATCATCTCATTATATTGTTGTTGTTGTTATTATTATTAGAAACACAACAGACAAGATCACTCTGCTAGTTGTATTATTATTATTATTATTATTATTATTATTATTATTATTTTACTAACTCAAAAAACACAGTATGTCACAGCAAATGAGATCTATATGCTAGATTTCATATCACAAGTCGAACACGTCCCAAGCGTTGTCATCATCATCATCATCAGGTCGCGAGCCCCAAGTAGAGACACACTGCTCTATAAGATGTTTTAGATAATATTCCTCATTTCTGCCAGGGATTTCCTGTTCTATGGGAGTCATAAAACAGATCCTTGTAGAAGTGACACTGTCACTTAGGGTGGGTTTGCACTGCCTGGTGAATCTGTGCTAATCCGGAGCAAAAATGTTCTGGATGGATCCGGAAGTTGGCGACGTCAATCCCGCCAAACCCACAGAGTGCTGTGGAGTAACCAAGAGTGCTACTAAGGTTGTTGTACTCCAAAAGACACACCATTGAATGAATTGTGTAACTAAGTGTTGCAGTACTGTGTGTTGAATATGAGGAGAAGAAATGTTTTCGAAGAACTTCACTCGTAATAGCTTTAGTCTCATGTTGAATGCTTACATTGTTTTTTTTTTTTCTTAACTAGCTTCATATCAAAACATTTGCAGTAAAATTGCCAATGAGAGCGACTCAGTGGTGGTATCTGTCGGGTAAGTGAATTCAATTGAAATGAATGAATATAGATTGGATTTTTGTTCTTGTAACAATGTCTGCCGTGTTTGTTAACAGATCGACTTACCCGGAAAAAAGAAAGTCCAAATCCAAAGTGTGTATAATTCATTCTAGTTCAATGGGATGGACTGCTCATATTTATAAACTAACTAGCTGTACCCGCAACGCGTTGCTGTGGCAAACGTTCCCTCCCTCTTTCTCTCCTTTCCCTCCTTCCCTCCCTCCTTCTTCTCTTCCTTCCTTCTCTACTTCTTTCCTTCCTTTCCTTCTCTTTTCTTTCCCTCCTTTCTTCCTTCGCTACCTCTTTCTTTTCTTCCTTCTTCACTCTTTCCTTCCTTCCTTCCTTCCTTCCTTCCTTCCTTCCTTCCTTCCTGCCTGCCTGCCTGCCTTCCTTCCTGCCTTCCTTCCTTCCTTCCTTCCTTCCTTCCATCCATCCATTCAGCAGTGGAACTCTCTGCCCCGGAGTGTGGTGGAGGCTCCTTCTTTGGAAGCTTTTAAACAGAGGCTGGATGGCCATCTGTCAGGGGTGATTTGAATGCAATATTCCTGCTTCTTGGCAGAATGGGGTTGGACTGGATGGCCCAGGAGGTCTCTTCCAACTCTTTGATTCTATGATTCTATGATTCCTTCCTTCCTTCCCTCCCTCTTTTCTTCCTTTCCCTCCCTTTTTCTTTCCCTCCTTTCTTCTTTCTCTACCTCTTTCCTTCCTTCCTTCTCTTTCTTCCCCTTCCTTCCTTTCCCTCCTTTCTTTCCTTCCACCCTCCCTTTTTCTTCCTCCCTCCCCCTTTTCTTCTCTCTTCTTCCTTCTTCTCTTTTCTTTCCTTCCTTCCTCTTCTCCTCCTTCCTTCTCCCTTTCCTTCTTTCCTCTTCCTTCCCTCCCTCCCTCTTTTTCTTCCTTCCCTCCCTTTTTCTTTCTCTCCTTTCTTCCTTCTCCTCTCTTTTCCTTCCTTCCTTCCTTTCCTTCCTCCTTCCTTCTCTCTTTCCTTCTTTTCCTCCTCCTTCCTTCCTTCCTTCCTTTCCTTCCCTCCCTCCCTCCCTCCCTCCCTTTCTTCCTTTCCCTCCTTTTCTTTCTCTCCTTTCTTTCTTCTTACCTCTTTCTTTCCTTCCTTCCTTCTCTTTGCTTCCATCCTCCTTCTCTTTTTCCTTCTTTCCTCCTTCTTTCCTTCTTTCCTCCTTTCTTCCTCCTCCCTCTTTTCTTCCTTTCCCTCCCTTTTTCTTTCTCTCCTTTCTTTTTCTGTCCTTCCTTCCTTCCTTCCTTCCTTCCTTCCTTCCTTCCTTCCTTCCTTCCTTCCTTCCTTCTCCCTCTTTGCTTCCATCCTTGCTTCTCTCTTTCCTTCTTTGCTTCCTTCCCTCTATCCTTCTTTCCTTCTCTTCTTCCTTCCCTGGTGGCAGATGAGGCTCCCCCCCCTTCGCTGGACCCACCGTTTTGCTGTCTGTTCCTAGCTCTAGCCAGAAGAGAGAGGATGGTCGGCACTACCTCTCACATTTGCTGTAATTCATTTGTGCGCATGCGCTATATCATCTTCTAACTTTTTTGGATGTTAAAGTTCTTTTCACAATTTTGGGGTAATATTTTGAGTGATGGTCACTCCTTGGGTTCGTAGATATCTTGTGGCCAAATTTGATGTCATTTTGTCCAGTGGTTTTTGAGTTATGTGCGTCCCACAAACGAACATTACATTTATAGATTAGAACATATAATAATAATAATAATAATAATAATAATCATCATCATCATCATCATCATCATCATCCCAGTGATGATCGGCACACTGGGTGCAGTGCCTAAAGACCTTGGCCTGTACTTAAATACAATCAGCGCTGACAAAATTACCATCTGCCAGCTGCAGAAGGCCACCTTACTGGGATCTGCACGCATTATTCACCGATACATCACACAGTCCTAGACACTTGGGAAGTGTCCAACATGTGATCCAATACAACAGCCAGCAAAGTGATCTTGTTTGCTGTGAACTCATCTTGTTGTGTCTCTAATAATAATAATAATAATAATAATAATAATAATAATAATAATTCAATTATATCACTGTTTTAGAACTACAGTACAAACCCCATATCCATTATTTATTTATTTATTTATTTATTTATTTATTTACTTCATTTGTTGACCGCCGCTCTCAGCCCTGGGGCGACTCGCGGCGGTGTACAACATGTAAAAACCATCTACAAAAACATACAATATAACAACAATCGAGTTACACATTAATCTAAATTACACTAATAGATCCGCGCCATCACAACATAGAGTCATAGCCAGTCTCATAATCCATAGTCCGTTCCAATTTCATAACCAAGTTCGTGTGGGTCTCAATTAAATGCCTTCTCGAATAGCCAGGTCTTTAGGCTCTTACGAAAAGCCATAAGGGAGGGCGCCTGTCTGATGTCAACAGGGAGGGTGTTCCACAGCCGGGGGCCACCACTGAGAAGGCCCTCTCTCTCGTCCCCGCCAGACGTGCCTGTGAGGCGGGCGGGATCGAGAGAAGGGCCTCCCCGGATGATCTCAAGGCCCTCGTGGGCTCATAGGCCGAGATGCGGTCCGAAAGGTATTTTGGGCCGGAACCGTTTAGGGCTTTGTAGGATAACACCAGCACTTTGAATTGGGCCCGGTAGCAGATCGGCAGCCAGTGGAGCTGGGACAACAAGGGCGTTGTATGCTCCCTGCGTCCCGCTCCCGTTAGTAACATGGCTGCCGCGCGCTGGACTAGCTGAAGCTTCCGGGCCGTCTTCAAGGGCAGCCCCACGTAGAGAGCGTTGCAGTAATCAAGGCGGGATGTGACCAGAGCATGTACCACCGTGGCCAAGTCAGACCACTTGGGACTGATATCTGCAGTCTTTTACCATTTTGACAAAACATGGCCTCTCTTACAATACCATTCTATGGTATGCTTGGGCCAGACCTCCTTCATCTCAATATGGCCTCTGGGTATTTTCGAAGTCCTCCCACACCCCTATGGTATTCTCAGCTGGATATCCTTCATTTCAATATGGCCTCTTTGGAAACCTTTAGATCCTCCCACATGCGTATATGGCATTCTTGGACCGGATGTCCTTCATTTCAATAGGGCTTGGTATCATCCATACTTTTGCGTCTCCACACAGCCTCCTATGAAATGACTCCTAGTCTATCTATTGTCTTCAACACTTTTCTTGTAAGCGGCTCAAAGCTATGAAGTCCTGGGAGTTGTAGTTGGGTGAGGCATGGGCCCTTTTTCCATAGAAGGCTAAAGTCTTGGTAGAATGCCAACTTCCATAATTCCATAACATGGAGGCATGACAGTTTAATTGGCGTCCCCTTCCCTTCTCTTCAGGTCATAAAGTCATTTTGAATCCTACCTACTTTCATTTTTCTCAGTTGCTTATCTTGCTGTGAGAACAGTCCATGATGATGATTGTTGTTGTTGTTCTTGCTGTGCTTTCTTTTGTCTAGCAGAGATTGGCAGATTGAGCGTAGATTCTCTTCTCAAATCCTCTGATTCCCACTCCCTCCTGTCTCCATTTTCCTTTCAACTTTCTTAAAACTTTATTCTTCTAACATTCACACCTATAAAATTTCATCCTCTTCCATCTCTCCTTGTCTCCCTCCTGCCTAATTCCCATCTCCTTATTGGTCCAGGTGCGGAGTAAACTTTCTGGACTGTTCACTAGGCCTGGGTAACAACGGAAAAATTTGTTTCTAAAATCGATTTGTATTTGGGGGTTTTTTTTGTTTCGATATTTAAAATAATTACAAAATTTTCCTTTTAAAAAGTTCGATATTTACGAAATTTCGTAAATGGTAAAAAATTAACGAATCGATTTCCGAAACAATAACGAATCGATTCGTTAATGGCGGACGCGACCGCGAAATACGCTAAAAAACCTCCAAAACCTTCTGAAGCTTCCCTCTCCCTCTGTTGTTGACTGTTGGTGTGATATTATAATTTTTTTTCACTAATTAAACCATAAAACTGGCCCAGACATGCGGAAATAATAACGAAATGACCTCAAAACAATAACGAAATGAATACAATATCGAAATACGAAGCATTTACAAAACGTTTTTGAAAATTCGTTTTTTTTAAATAATTGCTCCAGAATGGTTCGTTATCGTTTTGTAATTGAAAAAATTAACGAATTATTAACGAATTACGAATTAACGAAATGAAACCGCCCAGCCCTACTGTTCACACCATTTAGTAGGGACTCTAACTCCCTTCTATCAGTCAGCTTACAATGTATTTGTACACATTCAATGTACCTTCGTATTGACGCTCAAGGTGGAACATTGTGGCCGGGTTGTCAGACTGTAGGATCTATATAGCAATATTAAATAACCACTCACAAGCCGTTTTGCTTTGAAATTGATATATTGCTTGTATCTCTGCAGCAAAGAAAGACACTACTGACTTTTTCCCACCACCACTTCCTTTTATACACCTTTCCTGCCCATCTCCCCCTCTTCTCAGTTTCCTTATTAGAACTTGTTGCTTCACAAGTTCCAATACAAGGTTTCCAGCGCTCTCTGCTGACTTCAAAATGTCACACAGAGAGAGAACTGATTCAGCCAGGACGATTGTCACAAATGTCACGGATGGGATTTGTGATGTCTTCATGCCGTCAGAAATTGACTCCTGACACGGGTATGATCATCTTCTGGAAGCAGAGCCTTGATGGAGGATTCGTAAATGACCACAAAGACCTATTCTGGATCCACATGACGGTCATTCACATTAAGGACATTGAATTCCAGATCGAAGGCAGTCCCAATAAGGTTTTGCTTGACACAACACCTTCCTCTAGACAAGTTTCTTCCTTTTGCTCTTGATTCATGACTCTTTGAGGTCCGTAGCACCATAGTTGGTCACTGACCTACGGTTGCAACACTCAAGGGATGCCCACTCTCACCATTTCTATTTATACTCGTTTTTGAAGTGCTTTAAAGATATCTATTATGATAGATATATGGATATTATTATTGTAGATATATTATAGCCCAGGGTTGCTATAAAGTAAAAATGGATGGCCATCTTTCGGGAGTGTTTTGATTGTGCCTTCCTGGACAGACTTTTCTAACTCACAGAGCGTGTCTTTTTGTCCTTTCTTTGTATATTGGACTTCATTTCCCAGAATTCCTTTCCATAACTCAGTATGGGTGAGCTTTCTGGGCACACACACAGAATCCCTCCCCTGTGAGTTCACAGCGGAGGCACCTCCATGCTGCCGACAGCGGGAAAGGAAAGGAAAAGAAAGGAAGGAAAGGGAGGGGATGGATCTGGAGGAGAGTGTCCTCTCTCTCCTTCCTTCCCTCCTTCCCTCCTTCCCTCTCTTTGAATCCTTTGGGAAGAGAGAGGCAGGGGGTAGCAAGAGGGATATACTGGCCACCTTTCCCTTCCTCTCTCAAGCTACCTCTCTTTCAGCTGTTGGTTCCCCCTCCCCTCGTGCAGGAGGGAAGGGGGGGTGTTCTTTTAATGCATGCTCTGTATAGTCATTTAGCTTTGTGGGGTATTTAAGTTCTTTCCGATCATTTTTTTTTGTTTTTTGAGTGAAAGACATAGATTGCTTTAGTTGGTGTCTTGTGTTCAAATTTGGTGTCAATTCGTCCAGTGGTTTCTGAATTCTGTTAATCCCACAAAAGAACATTACATTTTTATTTATATAGACTAGCTGTACCCGCCACGCGTTGCTGTGGCCAACCTTCCCTCCCTCTTTCTCTCCTCCCTTCCCTCTTTCCTTCCTTTCCTCTTTTTCTTTCCCTATCTCTCATCTTTCTTCCATCTCTACCTGTTTCTTTCCTCCCTTTCTTTGCTCTTTGGTTACATCCTTCCTTCCTTCCCTATCTTTCGTTCCTTCTCTCCTTCCTTCCCTCTCTTTTTCCTTTCACTTTTTTATTTCCTTCTCTCCTCCTTGCTTCTCTATCTTTCTTTCTTTCCTTCTTTCCCTTCCGCCTTCTCTCCTTCCTTCCTTCCTTCCCTCTTTCCCTCCTTCTCTCCTTACTTCTTGACTGTCCCTTCCATTTAATATTGTATTTATATCTTACATAGAAAGAAGGAAAGGAAGAAGGGACAGGAAGGAAGGAAAAAGGAAGGGAGGGAGGGAAAGAAGGGAAGGAAAAGGAAGGAGGGACAGGAAGGGAGGGAGGAAAGGAGGAGGGAAAGAAAGGAGGGGGATGAAGAAAGGAGGGAAGGAAAGGAGAGAAGGAGGGAGGGAAAGGAAAGGAAGAAAATGAAGGGGAAGGAAATGAAGAAAGGGAAAGAAGGAGGAAAGGGAGGGAGGGAGGAAGGAAAAGAAGGAAAGGAAAAAGGAAGGAGGGACAGGAAGGAAGGGAAGGAGGGAAAGAAGGAAAGGAAGAAGGAAATAAGAAAAGGAAAGAAAGGGAGGAAGGAAAGGGAGGAAAGAAGGGAAGGTCCTTCATTCAAGCACCATGGACCTTCCTCCCCTCCTCCCCCTCCTCCTCCTCCCCTTCTTCCTTGCGTGGAGCACTCCGTTGCTGCTGCTGGCACTTTCCAACAGGGAAAGGAGGAGACTGCTCTCCTGACATAGGAGGGGAAGAGAAGGGGCTGCATGTGGTAAGCCTCCACCTCCACTACACTCACTTGTGTGTGTGTGTGGCCGTGCACGTGCGCCTGGCTTTAACGGCCGGTTGTTTCCCCGCGAGGAGGAGGGGGGGCATGGCCATGGGTCTCTGTAGACATGCAGTTTCTCCTTTGTGGACATGCAGTTTAGAAGTCCTTTCTGCTTTTGGTTTTCGTTGGGTTTTTTTTGAGTGGAGAACATACATTGGGTTGTGAGGGACATAGTGTCCAAATTTGGTGTCAATTTCCCCAGTGGTTTCTGAGTTCTGTGAATAGCACAAATGAACATTACATTTTATATTTATATATGATATGATGATATGATATGATATGATATGATATTATACTAGCGGTCCCCTGCTACGTGTTGCTGTGGCCCAGTCTGGTGATGGAAAATAAAGTAATTAGAAAGTGCTGGTTTCTAATATATGTAATGTCTTGATGCTTGTGGGTAAACAATATTTCTTGATGTTTCTTTGACAGTGTTGACGTAGAGATTGTCTAGTTTGCCTACTCTGGAACATGCAACATATAATGGTCCATCTTTAGGAGTCCCTTTCAAATCTATAATACTTGATCTCTGTGTGTGTGAATCATACCTATCAATCTATGTCTATGGCTGGATGGCTCTCATGTCAGGAGGGCTTTGATTACGTTTTCTTGCCCTGGTGAAGGGAGTTGGACTGGGTGGCCTTAAGTATTTTCTGTTGGTCAAGGTCTATTTCCCCCCAAACTCCATCTGTGTTCATATTTGGGCATATGGAATATTCGTGCCAAGTTTGGTCCAGATCCATCATTGTTTGAGTCCATAGTGCTCTCTGGATGTAGGTGAACTACAACTCCCAAACTCAAGGTCAATGCCCACCAAACGCTGCGGGTATTTTCGGTTGGTCAAAGGAGTTCTGTGTGCCAAGTTTGATGCAATTCCATTGTTGGTGGAGTTCAGAGTGCTCTTTGATTGTAGGTGAACTATAAATCCCAGCAACTGCAACTCCCTAATGACAAAATCCTTTTTTTAGTGGAGGACATACATTGGGTTGTTAAGGTTCTTGTGTCCACCAAACACTGCGAGTATTTTCTGTTGGTCAAAGGAGTTCTGTGTGCCAAGTTAGGTGCAATTCCATTGTTGGTGGAGTTCAGAGTGCTCTTTGATTGTAAGTGAACTATAAATCCCAGCAACTGCAACTCCCTAATGACAAAATCCTTTTTTTAGTGGAGGACATATATTGGGTTGTTAAGGTTCTTGTGTCCACCAAACGCTGCGAGTATTTTCGGTTGGTCAAAGGAGTTCTGTGTGCCAAGTTTGATGCAATTTCATTGTTGGTGGAGTTCAGAGTGCTCTTTGATTGTAAGTGAACTATAAATCCCAGCAACTGCAACTCCCTAATGACAAAATCATAATTTTTGAGTGATGGTCACTCCTTTTGTTGTGAGACTTTTTTTTTTTGCCAAATTTGGTGTGATTTCGTTCATTGGTTCTTATGTTTTTAAGGTACTCATTATGCACAGAGCATATATATATATATATATATATATATATATATATATATATATATATAAAAATTATATATATATATGTGTGTGTGTATATATATATATATTATATTATGTGGGCTGGTCCATGAGGTCACGAAGAGGCGGAAGGGACTGAACGAATGAACAACAAAAACGATATTATGTGACATAAAAATATCTTAATTCTGATCATTCTTGGTGGGATTCCTGACATCCAAATGCTTAACGTTTTCTGCTTGTGTGTTATGGCTCTCTAGGTATCGTCTCGCTCCTGAATATCCGTTCCCCACACAGTCCGAGGACTGCCACACGGCTACAGTGCATTTCATGAAAAACGCCGAGACTTATGGGGTGGATCCCTCCCAGATCGTCATTGGCGGAGACAGTGCCGGAGGCAACTTTGCCACTGCAATTGCCCAGAAATTGGTGGGGAGACCTGATCTTCCAAAGTTGCGGGCTCAAGTGCTGATTTATGCGGGCACCCAAGCCATGGACTTCACCTTGCCTTCCTGTCAACAGAATGCTCGAATGCCATTCTTGTTTTGTGAGAACCTCGCTTATTATGGGATGCAATATTTTGGGAAGGACACTTCTTTATCAGATGACTTGCTTCGCGGGTCTCACGTGCCGCACGAAATGAGACTGAAATGTGCCAAGTACGTGAGTCCGGACAACCTTCCAGAGAGATCTAAACAACGAGGCTACCAACCCATCCCGTTGGCTCCTTTCAAGCCCAAAGTGTACGAACAATTGTCCAACATCCTTGATGTCTCTTTTTCTACCCTTTTTGCTGATGATGCCGTTATCCAACAACTCCCGGAGACGTTCATTGTGAGCTGCGAACATGATATCTTACGGGATGACAGTTTACTGTATAAGAAACGCCTGGAGGACAACGGCGTCAAAGTTGTCTGGTTCCATGCCGAAAACGGATTCCATGGTGTGATAAACTTTTTCGACTTGGGTTTTTTCTCATTTCCACTTGGGTCAGAAATATTGAGTCGCGTCGCTGACTTCGTCAAACACTTATGAGATGTATTCTCCCCAAGATAATGGTATAATATGTATTAGGCTTGGGCGGTTTTGTTGGTTAATTTTGTAATTCGTTATTAATTCGTATTTAAATTAGCTTACGACCCAATATTGAGCCATGCAGGAATAGTGTGAGGAGTAAATTAGATTCAAAACATTTTTTTCAATTTATTTCGTAATTATTTTGTTATTATTTCGTAATTATTTCGTAATTATTTCGTAATTATTTTCGCATATCTGGTGCAAGTTTTATAGTTGTTGTGTGTTTTATCACACCAACAGTCAACAACAGAGGGAGAGGGAAGCTTCAGAAGTTCTCCCTGTCCTATTTGGAGGTTTTTTAGCATATTGCGCAATCGTGTCCGCCATTAACGAATCGATTCGTAATTTTACGAAATTTTGTATATTTCAAAATTTTTAAAAGGAAAATTTCGGAATTATTTAAAAAAACGAAATGCAAGGGCCCCCTAAAGACAAAACGAGTTTAGAACCAAATTTTTCCATGGTTACCCAAGCCTAATATGTATACTTACTTTTACAGGAATACACTGTATTTCTATTGACTGGAGTGATTCTCTTTCCCGATAATGGTTGGTCAAAATTACATACTAGGCCTGGGTAACAACGGAAAAATTTGTTTCTAAAATCGATTTGTATTTGGGGTTTTTTTTTGTTTCAATATTTAAAATAATTACAAAATTTTCCTTTTAAAAAGTTCGATATTTACGAAATTTCGTAAATGGTAAAAATTTAACGAATCGATTTCCGAAACAATAACGAATCGATTCGTTAATGGCGGACGCGACCGCGAAATACGCTAAAAAACCTCCAAAACCTTCTGAATCTTCCCTCTCCCTCTGTTGTTGACTGTTGGTGTGATATTATAATTTTTTTTCACTAATTAAACCATAAAACTGGCCCAGACATGCGGAAATAATAACGAAACGACCTCAAAACAATAACTAAACGAATACAATATCGAAATACGAAGCATTTACAAAACGTTTTTGAAAATTCGTTTTTTTAATAATTGCTCCAGAATGGTTCGTTATCGTTTTGTAATTGAAAAAATTAACGAATTATTAACGAATTACGAATTAACGAAACGAAACCGCCCAGCCCTATTACATACATTGTCATTAAATTATCATGGTTTTTGCATGTAAAGCCTGGGGAGAGGGATCATTTGTTATGTATTTTAATATTACACTATTCAAGGGTACGTTCAGCTGACCTCTCGCTGAAGAAGCGATTGACACAAAAGGCTGCCGGTTAGTGAAAGTATGAGGATTGAATGAAAAGTAATGCCTTCACCTTGGTTACTTGGGTTTGGATGGGAATATTTCAATAAATCAAATGCAGAAATAATCCTTAGAATGTGCTCTTTAACAACCACTATTCACTTTTTGACATAATCACCAATTGGATAGATTTCTGCCAACGATTAACAAGTTTGTTATTTCCACACTAAAAGCTGGTTGTTGTTTCCACACTACAGTGAACATCCCAGGCAGAAGCGGCCCTAGGTAATTTTATTTATTTACTTATTTATTTACTTCATTTGTTGACCGCCGCTCTCAGCCCTGGGGCGACTCGCGGCGGTGTACAACATGTAAAAACAGTCTACAAAACATACAATATATCAACCAAATTACACATTAATCTAAATCACACTAATAAATCCGCGCCATCACAACATGGAATCATAACCAACCGCCACTCTCAGCCCTGGGGCGACTCGCAGCGGTGTACAACATGTAAAAACAGTCTACAAAACATACAATATATCAACAACCAAATTACACATTAATCTAAATCACACTAATAAATCCGCGCCATCACAACATGGAATCATAGCCAATCTCATAACCCATAGTCCGTTCCAAATGTCATTACCAGATTCGTGTGGCTCAATTAAATGCCTTCTCGAATAGCCAGGTCTTTAGGCTCTTACGAAAAGCCATCAGGGAGGGCGCCTGTCTGATGTCAACAGGGAGGGCGTTCCACAGCCGGGGGGCCACCACCGAGAAGGCCCTCTCTCTCGTCCCCGCCAGACGTGCCTGTGAGGCAGGCGGGATCGAGAGAAGGGCCTCCCCGGACGATCTCAAGGCCCTCGTGGGCTCATAGGCCGAGATGCGGTCCGAAAGGTATTTTGGGCCGGAACCGTTTAGGGCTTTGTAGGATAACACCAGCACCTTGAATTGGGCCCGGTAGCAGATCGGCAGCCAGTGGAGCTGGGACAACAAGGGCGTTGTGTGCTCCCTGCGTCCCGCTCCCGTTAGTAACATGGCTGCCGCGCGCTGGACTAGCTGAAGCTTCCGGGCCGTCTTCAAGGGCAGCCCCACGTAGAGAGCGTTGCAGTAGTCAAGACGGGATGTGACCAGAGCATGTACCACCGTGGCCAAGTCAGACTTCCTGTGGCCAAGTCAGATTTTCAACGGTAAGCAAACAGTATTTTGGTGCCCATCCACCCCCCCCCAACCAATCACTGATATATATTTTCTGTTCGTCATGGGAGTTCTGTGTGCCATATTTGGTTCGATTCCACCATTGGTGTTCAGAATGCTCTTTGATTTTAGGTGAACTATACATCCCAGTAACTACAACTCGCGTATGTCAAGGTCTATTTTCCCGCAAGAGCACCTCAAGAGCACCCCTGGGCAAAATGAACTGTACCGCGAATGCTTACTTTGCGTAATGGGTTGAGCCGCCCCTGATCCCAGGTGTTTCGAAATGCCCAGGATGTCACCTGAGGTATGCAGATGAATTAAGAGTTATCCTATTCTATACAATTTGCAAACAACTATTGATCTACAGCCAAACAATTTCAAGCTTTCCAAAACATCTCAGCATTTCTCAGTACAGCATCGGGATTGTGGCGCAGCTGGTTGGGAGTCAGCTGCATTATGATCACTACTTATTTATTTATTTTATTTATTTATCGTGTCAGGCAACTGAACAGTTGTATTACATTTTTGACACAACAAACAAACAAACATACAAAAGACACAGAGTTTGCAAGCTTGGTAGTTGATTAAATGTCTTTTGACCTTTATCTGGCCACTTGGAGTGCTTCTGGTGTTGCCGCAAGAAGGTCCTCCATGGTGCATGTGGCAGGGCTCAGGTTGCATTGCAGCAGGTGGTCAGTGGTTTGCTCTTCTCCGCACTCGCATGCCGTGGACTCCACTTTGTGGCCCCATTTCTTAAGGTCGGCTCTACATCTCGTGGTGCCAGAGCGCAGTCTGTTCAGCGCCTTCCAAGTCACCCAGTTTTCTGTGTCCCTCATTTGGTATCAGCCATTGATTGCGTTTCTGGGTTTGAGCCTGCCACTTTTGGACTCTCGCTTGCTGAGGTGTTCCAGCGAGTGTCTCTGTAGAGCTTAGAAAACTATTTCTTGATTTAAGTCGTTGACGTGCTGTCTGATACCCAAACAAGGGATGAGCTGGAGATGTCTCTGCCTTGGTCCTTTCACTATTGGCTGCTACTTCCCGGCAGATGTCAGGTGGTGCAATACCGGCTAAACAGTGTAATTTCTCCAGTGGTGTAGGGCACAGACACCCCGTGATAATGCGGCATGTCTCATTAAGAGCCACAATCCACTGTTTTAGTGTGGTGAGATGAGTTCCACACTGGGCATGCATACTCAGCAGCAGAGTAGCATAGCGCAAGAGCAGATGTCTTCACTGTGTCTGGTTGTGATCCCCAGGTTGTGCCAGTCAGCTTTCGTATGATATTGTTTCTAGCACCCACTTTTTGCTTGATGTTCGGGCAGTGCTTCTTGTAGGTCGGGGCACGGTCCAGAGTGACTCCCAGGTATTTGGGTGCACTGCAGTACTCCAGTGGGATTCCTTCCCAGGTAATCCTCAGAGCTCGGGATGCTTGTCTGTTCTTGAGATGAAAAGCACATGTCTGTGTTTTAGATGGACAGATGGACATGTTTCAGCTGGTTTCCCCTATAGTAGGCAGTAAGAGCATTTAGAGCTTCGGAGAGCTGTTCAACCATCTCAAAGCTCCCTGCTTGAGTGGTAATGGCACGACCATCAGCATAGATGAAACTCTCTGTCCCTTCTGGCAGTGGCTGGTCATTTGTGTAGATCAGTGGTTCTCAACCTGGGGGTTGGGACCCCTGGGGGGGTCACGAGGGGGTTTCAGAGGGGTCGCCAAAGACCATCCAAAAACATAGTATTTTCTGTTGGTCATAGGGGTTCCATATGGGAAGTTTGGCCCAATTCTATCATTGGTGGGGATCAGAATGATCTTTTATTGTAGGTGAACTATAAATCCCAGCAACTAAAACTCTCAAATGCCAAGGTCTATTTTCCCCAAACTCCAGCAGTGTTCATTCACATTGGGCATGTTGAGTATTCATGGCAAGTTTGGTCCAGATCCATCATTGTGTGAGTCCATAGTGCTCTCTGGATGTAGGTGAACTAAAACTCCAAACCTCAAGGTCAATGCCCACCAAACCCTTCCAGTATTTTCTGTTGGTCAAGGGAGTTCTGTGTGGCAAGATTGGTTCAATTACATTGTTGGAGTTCATAATGCTCTTTGATTGTAGGTAAACTATAAATCCCACCAACTACAACTCCCAAATGACAACATCAATCCCCTGCCAACCCCACCAGTATTCACGTATTTGTGCCAAATTTGGTCCAGTGAATGAAAATACAACCTGCATATCAGATATTTATATTACGATTCATAACAGTCGCAAAAATATAGTTGTGAAGTAGCAACAAAAATAATATTATGGTTAGGGGTCACCACAACATGAGGAACTGTATTAAGGGGTCACAGCATTAGAAAGGTTGAGAACCACTGGTGTAGATGTTGAACATGGATGGAGCAAGCACACTCCCCTGTTTCCGCCATCTGCTTCTCTGACCCTGGAACCCAACAAAAAAGCTCCTGTTTTGTAGCAGATTTCCTATGAGGCGGGTGAGGTGATCACTACTGACCAAAAGGTCATGAGTTCGAAGCAAGCCCGGGTCGGAGTGAGCTTCTGGCCAATTTCTGTAGCTTGTTGTCAACCTTTGCAGCCCGAAAGACA